GTTTATTGTTTATTCTGTGGAACCTGCATTAAGCAGTTAACCTATATAAGGCGGTCACGCCGTTCCCCGTGGGTGACCGCTCAATACAGGGTCTACTATAATAGGAAAATTTAAAGGAAACAATAATTGCCGTCTTCAACTTATTAAATATTCTACATTTTACTTTTGTTTTTAGTCAAAAAGATTTTGTTTGTCTCCGAGTACAAGGAATAAATGGAGATCATTTTCTTTATGATGATTAGAATGATGACGATGACGACGAAAATGACGATGAAGACGATGACGACGATGATGATGATAATTTTTTTTTAAACATGTTACTTAAATGATCGTTCGTTGTACATCTTGAAAAGAGAATTATGAAGAACCAGTGAGATTCAAGGATCACCATGAATCTTCTCTACCATTTACGGACATTGAAAGTAGGCACGCCCAAGCAAATAGGAAGAGACTGATTAAAAATCCTATAATCGGAGATATCCAACCTGGAATAGAGACAAGAGGAAATTAACCGCTTATCGATGCTATTATATTACTGCTAGCTGTTTTCATATTGGAGTTAATTAGCACGTCTTCTGTGACTTACCGACGTCGTCACAAGCTTCTCTGGAACATGGTTGATCCTCACTAAGGCATTGCTCGTGAACCGTTTGGAAGTACTCGGGATTTTCCGAAATCACAGGTGGTATTAAAGGCTTCTCTCGGGCTGGGAGGCTCAATGTTCGTCTGGATCGTTGAGATAAGGGTGTTGGGGGAGGGGGGTTGTATGAGTGACTTCGGAAAGCGCGCGTCTGCATAGTGTTGGTGGATACGAAAAGCGTGACTCTGTCAGACATTGGGTTGCTTGAAGTAACGCAATTACCTCTTGGCGGTATTTCTATAAAAGAGGAAAAATAAGTGAGTGTTATTTCTAATTGTCAAAATTAAGTTTAAAATGTCTTTTTAAAGATTTGTATATAGTCCACTCTGAGAGAAAAAGGTTTGATTTTTACAAGACATGTCAAAAATTGCCAGGTATTTTTTTTCCTTTCTTGACAGACAGCTGAATAACTCTCTCAGACAAATTCTGAGGACACGTTTCGTCAAATGACTCTTTCAGTTAAGATTTCAAAATAGAAGCCCTTTTGTAATTTCAGTAAGGAAACTCTAGAAAATGATTTTTATTTACTTTCTAGAATTGTGCTAAATACACCAATGACTCTATACGAATAACTCCATTTAAAAATAATTACAACATTTTCGAATGTAATTGGTTATCCTACAGCCTGATTTCTTTTTCTTATGGGGCTGTGCACAGTTTACCCATTTACCCATGCCAGCGAACTTGAACAGAAAGCATCTCTAAGGCGCGCCCTTAGTTAGACTATTGGATCCTATTCTTGAAGTTAAAAAAAAACAATAATTGTTATGATTTTACGCATAAATATGTTAACCGATGAATTTTTCGAGTCTTTTTATTATAACGATTAATTGGTAACACACCTTTGTGTTGTCCAATTCGGTCTGTTGTCATACAAGTGATAACAAACCGGACTGGCTCTCTCACAGTCTAATTATCACCATGAATATCTTAAACGTATCTTGAAACCAAGAGGAATAATCGTTTTTCCCCTTAAACAGATCGTATCCTGCCGGAAAGGTATATATGACGGTCTGATATTTCATCAGCGATGAATATCAGTAAAATCAATTCTTATGAGACTTACAACGGGCGAATCTAATTTTAAAACACATTTGAGGATTATTCCTTGAAAATGAGGAAAACGAACATCAATTAAGCGAATGTATTAAAGTATGCAAATCAAAAATCTATATTTACGTCTAATAAAAAACCCGCGGCCTTTTTTACACGCAAGAAAAACTTTATTCTAGTCCAAGGTTATTTCATAAAATGTTATTATTATTATTATCCAACTTTGGTTACGGCTATTGTTGAGATACCAACAGCTATAGCGGTTACTGAGGGCAAGCTGATATTTTTCAGTATAAGCTTACAAGAGCGACTACATGGAGGTATTGTTGCATCGTAAATACTGCTGTTTATGGTATTGCTTCTATTTCTAGGGCATTTAAGGAAAAATAGCAAACAAACTTGATGTAAAGGTGAGATAAATAGCCTAATATACCTGCTTTTTTGTGGAAAGCAAAAACAAGAAAAAGTGAATAATAAATTGATATTACGCGTTCATTTGTGTGGCGAAAAACATCATTAATGTTACTGTTCAGGAAACTGTTTTATAATGTACTAACCTGGATGTATTTTGAGATATTAAACCAGCCCTACTATGCTTCCTTGCGAACGAGGAAAAAAGATCTTTTTGATGTAGAACACTTTTCTGGCGTGATAAGATCAGTCACTTCGAAAGTCGAAAGATGGAAGGTGCCGCCTACATAATCAGCAAATATTCACCTGAGAGACTGGCTAAAGTGTGAAATTTAAACATATCTATCTTCCGTTTAACATCTTTCTTTGTTCGGATTTCATTAATTTCCTGATGTTCAAATGAATCTTTAAATTGAAATCACAAGGCGCCACTTTTGCGGCAAGGGTTAAAATTAAATTACAAATAAGCGTTACGAGCGTGGAGCCAACGAACATAAAAAGCGCTTTAAAAAAAAAAAGTAGCGACAAAAGAAGATGATCTGGAACTCGCGTTTTTAATAGCGCCATCAAATTAACTTAATGAGTTTTTTCTTTCACAGTATACCTAAACAGCTCTGCACCTTAAGACAAGCGCCACAAAATTTTGCTTTGTCTTTTGAAAATCATTGTGGTTGAATTAAAAGTGGTTCTTAATTTGAATTAATTTGAATTAAACTTAAGGCAAGGTTTGATGACGCGTTATGTTTTTGAACCTATATTCCCCCCCCTACACTCGCTACCTAAGAAAAGGTTTCACGCAATCTTCCTTAAGGAAGTTTTCAGTTCAATTACCATACTTCAGTCGGAGTGATTCACGAAACACGAAATTAATGTTTTCTTCTTCATGCGTCGCCACAAAAATAAAATGAGAAATCGGTCAACTTTTAAAGGAAGATTAGGAAATGCTAAGTTTGATCAACTTGCGATGAACTCTGGTCTCCTTCAGGGGAAAGAAACTGTACTTTGGGTTGCTCCAGCGAATTGGTTCGTCTGACTTGAAGCTGACTTCTCTCGCGCCGATCAATTCGAAACTTCAACATTCCCTTCCCCGGGCAACCAACGGGCATTTGACTGTCGTCTACGTCGGAGGTTGGTGAGTTTGAACCTTGGCAGGGTGTGGTGGGGAGGTGTCAAGTATTCCCAGCCGCACTCACGTGTTTTTTCTTTTAATGTGGAGGTTTTTTAAGGTGAAGAGTTCACTTTCTTGAGCTGGCTCAGAAAGAAAGGTCTACAAGGTCTGGGTTTTAAAGCTTGGTCAATGTGAAGAAAGTCACGGTCGCTGATTTTGCCCTGTATGAAAAATTGACAGTCAAATCCGGCTCTTGGGTGAGCATCTGAACTCAATTTGGCCAAGGGGATGGCAGGAATTTGAACGAACCAATCTTCAAAAGCTCAAATGCCCGAAGGGTTGCTCAGGTGTTGCGCAAGGGGTGTTGAAGCTTCGAACTGATGGACGCATTGATCATAAGCATAAAGTTAACGCGAAAAATATCTCCAGAAAAATGGCCTAGAAATATAGAAGCAAAACTAAAAACGGCATGATAAAGTCTTTAATGTAAAATATTATATTTCAAAACGTTTTAAACCTTTAGAAATTGCTTCCGTATCCGGAGTTTCAAATGTTGCTTACCTTTGATAAATAGGTTGTCGTTTCCAGTTATACAAAGACTAAGAAAATTTTAAGAATTAGTGAAGCCCATTAATTGTCTTACATTTTATGTCAGCCAAAACACTGATCGCATTAGAGAGCATCGACATCCTTAGAAAGACCTTCAATTCTATTTATCTGTTAATCGGTATTTAACTTGTCAATTTGAGGCATCCTTTGAGATGTAAATTTTTCCTAAACGGAAATTTCCGTTGATTTTACTTCTGATACCCTTCGGCACTATGGATTTTCGGTAAACAAAATACAAATTAAATTGAAAACAAGTTTGAAGGTAATAATATGTTTTATCTTTCTGCGGGAAAAGAAAAAATGATAAAGGATCATTTTGCAGTTCTTGAATGAAACCTCTCGTAATATCTGCCATAAATGTACTTTGTCGCCGTTGAGATATTTTCAAAAGAAAAAACGTTAAAAAACACAGACTTTTAAGAATACAAGATTATGTCATGTCTTTTGCCGCAATTTCTTTTTTTTTTCCCTTTTTTTTCTTTGCTTTTACAGTCTTTAATTCTAGTTCTTTTTTTCCCTATTTTTCTTGTGCTTTTTTCTCTTGTTTTCGTGATAAAATTTTCTCGTTTGTTTTAACAGAAAATGAGAAATTCTACTACTAAGAGGGTCTGACCGTCAGCCGTCAAACGTTCAAAAAATTTACAGATTTTAACCATTAGTCGTAAAAAAGTTAACGGAACAAATTTTCCTTTCTACAATGTGTCATTTTGTGTTTTTAGCCGTAAAATGGCCAAAATTTTAATCGTTAGCCGGAAAGCTATCACCCCACTGTAACCCCCTTGCAAGAGAATATTAATTGTTTATAATCTCTTTACTCTTGCTATCGCCATCGTATTTCAATTTTTTGCATTTTTTTTTTGTCTTATCAATTTGCATTCTACTGTTTATACTTTCCGAACGCAACCAACTCAGATCAGATCAGCTTCAGGTCTAGCGTAAATTGAATCAGTAATTTTCAATGACAGTTTGATAAACTTTTGAAGTGACACAATCTTTTAACAGCTAAAGAAAAAAAAGAAAAAAGACATATTCTCTTCCATTTGGCGGCTTCCGTAAGGTCCCTGATGATGATTAGATCGAGTTGTATCTTCCCGATGCTCCGCGCAGCCCTGCCATCAAATATTGTTTCCACTCGGTAACTATGTAACAAGCCTGCTACCCACGCAGGCACAAATAAAACTTTAAATTCTGGCTCTACCCCAAAACCTCGGGCAAATCCGCTTGAAAGCTTTTAGTTTTATCCTTCTACCACTGTGGCTGGTCTTAAGGGAACAGAAGTAGTTCAGAACAATCTTATTGGAATCCGCGAGTGCACAACGTACGTGCTGTGTAATATTCGGCAAAGTACTTCAGTTGCTTTGGGTTTATGCAACAGTTCTCCACCTTAAACAATATTCCAACATTTGTATCTGATAGTTGGGTTATAAAATACTTCATTAAGGTTGGCAATCGCCAAAAATGTTACAAGGTACAAAGAAAGGAAAGCAAGAACATACCTGACAGTTAGAATACTTGTACGAAACGACATACAGACACACTCCAGAAAAATTTGACTGATTGGCACGAAACTTATTGTAGTATGCTAATGTTGTGCGGAGATTGGAAACTAGGAAACCGCTGAAAGAAGTTACAATAGGACTCATTGTGAACCCTGGTCAATTCTAGTTACGGCTACTTTATGCAAACTAGCAGGAGACATGTGCAGCTATTGGCTGCCTATTTTTATTTTTATTGGTTGTTGTGTAATTTTCATTACATGATAAAATTACCTGTTTCTGTGGAACGCAAGAACTTTAAAAAGTAAACAGCCCGTGTTTAAAGTATGAATGTGTATCATCGTGTTTATTTTCATGCCTTATCACCGCATTTGCCCTGTTTTTCGCTCAAGAACTTTCTTCGAGCCCTTCAACTGTCTATCACCACTAATCCGGCGAGCGTTTGTACTCGTTCTCGGTCAGGTATCCGTCAACAGGAGGAGCCATTTCACGAAGGCTATCAGGTTCATAATTAGGTTTCTCCGTCCTTTTTCGAAATGTTGCTTAGAACTTCTCAAGAGTTTCATTAAGGCCTCCAGTTCTTACATTTCAATAATTTCTGCATAGTCCTTTAAACAAGTTCATAACTTCTCGAAAAATTGGAGGATTATTAATGCTTTGATTCAAGCGTTCATTTTTATTTCACACATCGTTTGCTACCCAATTTCTTTGAAAAAATACAAAAAAACACAAGCTATGAATTTTTTCAATTGCTATTTGTAATATTTTTGTCGTTCTTGTTGAAACAGAAATCTTTTTCTAAACCATCACAAAGTTAAACGCTTTTGGTGATTGGGTCAAATATTTTCTCTTCTGTATATTTGGTCAATTCGATTGAGTAAATTTTTATCTTGTTCGTCTTTTTTTTTTGTGTGCAAAAATTACATCTTCAACGCATAGAAAGCAAAACATGTGGTTGCGAGATAAACAGACTTAAAAATTTATGAAAAATGTTCACACTATATTCTCGGTCTTGTGCGGTGAATGTTTCAACCACCAATATCGTATGCATGTCGCTTGGTAACCATTGCCATTAGGCAAGCCTCTTCCCTCGTACGTACTTTTTCTAATTTAAAATTACGTTTTTTTGACTATATTTTCACATAACGCAAACTTTCCTCCTCGTAAACTTTGACTATGGAAGCAGTTCAGTGTTTGCATGACTCAGCAAGTTATGTCTTCCGCTGCGCTTTCTTTCTGCAAATTTAGTTCCGTGTTCATATTTCAATAAATTGTTTCCCAAAAAAGGTGGTCAGGAAACGTAACGCCATTGATTGAATTCATGCAAGCCCTCTCTCTTTTGTTATTTTTTTTTTTTATCATTTTCCTGTCCATCATTTTTAAAGCTGTCAGAAATGCAGCTTTTAACTTGACAACGTGGTTTTGTTCTAATTTTACTCAGCATTGTTTCGTTTGTGTTCACGTAGCGACTGATCAAATACGTACTTTGCCATAATTTTAAGTGACGAAAATTTTTTAAATTAGCGTTTTTCCGTGGCCATCTGACCTTAAAGAACTTATTTCTCATCATTCTGTGACAGTTGCTTTTAAATAGCGAGGTAGTTTCCCGTGGCTTTATTCCACTGCTGCTCGTGCTATTCATGCCTAGACCAGCTTCGGTACAAAGGCGAAAAGATATTTATCATTCGAAACTAAAAGGAATTATCGCAGACAAACGAATTCACATCATACGCTTATCGACAAAGAGACGGATATCGACTTGACGCTTTCGTTCATTATTTGTCAGGTAGGCATTTCAATAACGTTGCATCAGTAAAAATTACTTATGGCAAATTTCCTCTCAATATTTATATAAGATTGCTTCGTGTGTACACTTTTGCTAAAAGGCGAATTTTCTTTGATCTTGTAGCGCAGACGGTCTGTACAAAAAATAATTGAGAACGAACGACTCTTGCGCAATATTGTCTTCAAATAGGAAAATTTAGCTTAAAAAGAAAATTTGTGGAGCGTGCCAGTATAGAGATTTGGTCATATGGCTTTAAATAAATATTTTGAATTCTAACTAACAGCGACCTGGTGATAAATGCCAATTACAAGAAACCGCATTCACTGGTTGAATTATCATTTGCGTTGTAACTAATCATTGTGTCGCAAATGCACTGATAACATTGTTAATGGCGGGCGAAATGTTTGAGATTATTTTCTTTTACATAATTTATTGTAAATTCAGTTTGAGAAATGCATTTTAGAGCTCTTGTAGGCCAAAATAGAAGTTTTAAAATTATTTTTGGTTTCTTTGATTTTTTTTTTTTAGAGTGAATCTCTACATTACGCAACATGTCTACTGAAGCCGACATGTTACGTCTATCTGCTCGTCCGCGCAACACACGGTCGCATTCCCTCAAACCACAAAGCCAGCCCATGATGCAGTTCAAGCAACGTTCCAAACGTACAATGAGCTTGCCATCGAAACCTGTGCTACTACCGCTGATTAACATACAGCGTTGTCAAGACAACTGGAAAGACGAAAGTGATGAAGATGAAAGTGTGAGAATTAGAGAGGAAATGGGTATGTTACAGTTATAGACATTTGATGCCCTGTAGATGAGATTTTTGAATTAAAAAAAATAATTTTTGACAAGCACAATTTTCGTGTCCGCGTTACTTCGGAGATTTTGATATATTTTACTTAGATATCGTTCAACCATTTTAGTCACGTTTAGAAGTTGAATCAACATGACGAACTAAGAAAAGTTTCGTATCAATCAATGCGTGTCCAATGTTTTGTTAATCTACCTAGTTCCGTTGAGTTCGCAACGTATGTCTGGTTGTCCTGTTTAAAATTTCATATATTCCTACTATCTTTTATTTTATTTATATAAATCGCAAGTTTTCAATTCCTTTCCCATTTTTTTAGCGTGGTATACACCAATTGTTGGACTCTCATGCAGCCTCGTAATATATTTCTGGGCATGCGCGCTCGCCTACTATTCGAAGCCTTGAAAAGTCAAAGAAGACGGTTGGTTGCACAGTTCTTTTGAATTCTTTCATTTTTGTTTTTTTGTTTTTTTGTTTTTACATTCATGATGTCGTTAAGAGAGGAGGTGAAAGTTCAGTTTGGGGAAAATCAAATATAATTTTTCTATCCCTTGGATGATTACAACTTTTGGAGACAAGAGATGACATAAACAAAGCTCTATGGCAAATTTTATTAATTAACTAATTATTAGTATTGTTATTATTATCATTATTAATATTTATATTTATGATGTCAAAAGAAGTGGTGAACGTTTCAAAGACAATTACTTAATATAACTGTGAAGAACGTTTTCCGAAAAAAAAAATTAAGAATCAAAAAGGTCCAAAGTTAAACTGTACGACTTCAGCATGTTTTCCCCCATGTTTTATGAGAGCTCCACTGATCGTTCGCCGGCGAACGAACACTTTAAATACATTCATTGTTACATCAAAATAAAGTTTCTTCATGAATCAGGGGAACATTAGGTTTACGAATTAAAGTTTCAACAAAATATGCCTTAAAGTTGTTGTTAATTACTGGCTAAATGGTAACTCTCATCTTGTGAAATATCAAGTAAAGTATTATGTTAATTACAAAAAAACCAAACCTTTAAAAGTAACAGTACGTTATTTTCATTCGCTTGCATTACAATGTCTTCCCACCTACACTTAAGCATTTTACAGTTGGATGATAACAAAGCTTTTCATAAATGACGTCAACACTTTGTAAATATCAATTAGGTAAGTTGAACTGTGTTTTTCTTAAAAGGAAACAAACTTGTTCTCATAAGCTACACCAAATTTCAAAATTGAAAAGAATGGTATGAAAAGCAAAGAGATGGAAAGCTAATAAAGAATTTAATTAAGAACTCTTGAGGTACAAGAAAGAAGAAGAAGAGGAAGTAGAAGAAGGAGTGCACTTCAGCTAGGATTCATCCCTTACTAACCGAGTTCTAGGTTGGTACTGTAACTTACGGAAGAACGAGGTTACTTAACTTACAGTACGGACCGAGACCACGAGATTAGTAAGGTATCTATAACATCTCTGGGTTCAAATAGAGGATAAGGCTTTCAATTCAAACAAACTTTTTAATTTAGCGTGTGCCGTATACTGAAATACCGCTCACTAAATTGACCATTCATGGCGCACATATGTACTTAGAGATATGATAAAGGCCCCTTTACTGAATACTAGGAATATAGAGTCAAATTAAGTCAGATCTTGAATAGAAAATAAGACGTAAAAGCAATTTTGAATGTGAAGCTTTTCTGCTCATTCGTGCAAACGGGACATTTATCGTCAATTTTTTTAAATTACGAACAAACAAAATAAACTAGCTGTGTTATCGATGCCGTTTACTCTTCTTGATTTTGAAAAATATAGAATTTATCAGACATGATAATGGAATTAAAACGCCCTATTGATTAAGCACCGCGTTTACTCGAACAGGCAAACATGACGTTCGCCCTATCACGCTTCACGTAAAATAACGTTCACTTTATTGCTTTGGCTACGCGGGACTGAGCTCACGTCACTTCGATTTTCGATGAAGCTGTCTCGTGAGTCAACGTGAGTTCTTGCAGCAGTCTGCTGACGAAAAGTAAGGTATTTGAAGGATTTTAAACATGAAACTTCATCTGCCCTTGTATAAGTTATGGGAAATACTTATTCTGCAATTTTGCGGCAACTAACTTCTACTCTGTGAGAGAAAAGGAGAAGAAAATCTTACGTAAACTGCAGACGTGAAACAGCTCACTTTAACGTAGAAACAGCAAGGTACGGCCGGCAAACGTGAAATATAACGGGAAAATCGGGGTCACGTGATCACTCTTGCCGCTCACGTTTTACGTAAACGCGGTGCTATATCTGTCTATTATTCACATAATTGTTGTCTATTATTTCCATTTGTAATTCCCATTTCATTTTCAAATTTATTTCCCATTTTATTTCCCTCTATCTTCCATGTTACTACTTTTTTCATTGGACTGTATCATTCCTTACTCTGTGGCGTTTCTAATTTTGGTGAATTTTGGTTTCGACTCCATTCCTCTTTATGTAAGCGCGGCTGCTCCTTCCATCTTTCGTTGGTTTTAAATTTCTTCCTGATACCCTAGGCGAAAAAGGAACAAAAACGATTGAAGAAAAAAAGAACCATTACCTAGAGCATCAATTTATTACATCTTGTGCAACGATGTTTTGAAAGGTAGAACCAAGGATTCGACATCGCCATCATGCAGAACCACTCTGCGCACGATTCACAACTGTTGAAATAAATCTAAACCAGCGGTGCGAGTTGAGCAAATGCACTTAGACAAGCTTACTAAATTAATAAGGAAAAGGCAATATCTTTATTACGAAAAATTGTGCCGTGTCTTCTAATTTGCGTTGTTGGGTTTGTATTTCTGGAACATTCGTATTATTGTTATCAGTTTGAGTGTCTTTTCGGTGTTTTTTATGTCTGGTATTTTCAGCGAAACATTTGAAAATTCCTTGAGCTGTAGTTTCGTAATTTTATTGTTTAGGTCCCTTTTCAAGTTTGTCACCTATTGTGTGTAACCCTTTCACTCTCAGTTGTGACCAAGACAGAATTTCTCCTTACAATATCGATACAATCTCAAGTAAACAAGTGATGAGAATATAGAAAAACATAAATTAGTGGATTGCAATTTCATTCAATACCAAATTCTCCATACTAAAATTATAAGCAATGTATAACAGGCAGGAAGGAGAATTATTGAAGAGATCATACATACATACATCATGGGAGTGAAAGGTTAAATATTCTGACTTTTCTACGTCCTGGGGTTCATTACAAATCGTGTTGTCGGATGTCTGGATGTAATGTCGCTGTTGTGATATTAAATTTGTTTAATCTTTATGTCGTTTCGAGTTTATTGCTTCAAAAAACCTAAGAAGATGAACATTTCGTCTTATCAACAAAGAAGCTTACCCGATAGTTTCCAGAGAGTTATGTTGACGAATAGTAGGCCAGCATACATGACCATAGGTACATCACAAGACTACAGGATAGTCCAACAACGGGAGTGTACCACGCTGACAGAAAAAAAAATTAATTAAACAGAAAAGTAAGATAATTAAGCAAAAGCAAATTTCAAACATTTTGCCATTCATTAAATAAAGGAGGTTGAGCTTGTGACTTGTGCTCAAATTTAAAGCAAAATTTCCTATTGCAGTTTACCAACATGTCTGGGGGAAACGTGTTTGCATCAGACAGTAGCAAGTAGTGACAGAACTGGCAATATGAACTGCACCTCTGAGAACGAAAGTGATGCATGTACTGAGGCTCCTCTAAATAGAGGGGACCATCTGCCTCGTAGGAAAAATAATCTAAAATTATGATTTGAATTGAAAAGGTTTATCACTCCCTCACCCATACTTTCATGACTCCATCCACTTCTTTGTTCTTCTTCGTCACTGAAGCTTTCTTGGCTGCTGTCTTGGCAGGCTTGTATTGTGATGTGAGGCGGGATTACAGGTTTGGATGGGAGGCTGTAAAGTCGCTTTCTCTGAGTCAGAATATTAGGTTGACTAATTGGCTTGAGAGAATGGGACCGAGTGCTGCGCGGCCGTTCCTGGGATGGAGTAAGCAGGTGAGGTTCGTACATGGTGTCGAGAGTTCTGAAATCAAACTTTAAAGTTCGAGTGTAAATTTCAGAAAGTTGAAAATCTACAAAACATTTCGTTTATTTGAATCCACACTACCCTGCCTCTCATGCGTGTCTTCGGCCCGTCTCGCAAAATTTTCGCCTCGGTAGAGTGCGTTGCGTGGCAAGCCAAAACGTCGGCTTCGAAAGAGACAAACAAACAAACAAACAGCAAAAACTAGAGATCAAAACAGTACTTTTTTCCTTAATTTCTAAATAAATCCTGAGAAGGATTTGGTAGTAATCAGTTTCGTAAGTGGGTAATACGAAGATCAACTTTGGTGAGGTTAACATAAAGACGGAAATATATTGAAAAACGGTTTTGACGAAAAAATATCTCGCATCGTAAAAGTCCTTTGATGTACAAGTCCATTTCGAATAATTTCGCGTTTGTATTTATTTTAAATTCTACTCCTTTTTTTTTTCTCTTCACATGAAAGTTCGCCAGATGGTGAAAATTAGATTTTGAAATGTATTAAATTTTTAACACGTTTGATTGTCGCATTTTAAAAAATGGCATAAATCTCTTGTTGAAAGGCTTTTTTTTCCTTCGCGGTAAGATGTTCAGTGATTGCAGTTTTTGCCACAGATTTGAAGAAAAATTGTTCTCTTACAAGTTTGCTGTAGTTGCGGTTGTTCATATTTCAAATCTCCGCTTTTTTTTTCTTTTTTTTTTTTAACGTAACCTTACCTATTCCGAGTTTGTTTCTCACCACTTTCTTGGTGAAGGCAGATGTTCTTCTAAGCTCAGTAACTCTTAATGCGACTTTTTTAAATAATTCTTAAACGCTTCTTAATTACCGTAGACAACTTAAATTGTACTCGGAACAGACGGACCGATGACAGTAATCATACCATTTGCGGCCATGTTTAACATTCAAAGTGGAACAGAAATGAATGCATTTCGTAATTTGCACTAAAAAAAATCTTTCGAGTCCATGGCTGAAACACGTTCAGCAATTATGTGTTAAAAACTTTAGGGATTAATTGATCCGCTAAACTACTTTACGTGCAGAGTTTTAGCGAATAACTTCTGTTTGCATTACAATACACCCTTTTTTTTTTTTTTTTTTGAAAAAAAGGTGGCTACTCTCAGATGATATAGGCCTTCCAGCAGGAACAGAAATCAAAATTCAGCGCACGTATATGAACTTGTCCTTAAGTAACCTTTCAACGTTATTGATTAATCGCTTTCACCTTTTTTTCTTTTTTAACAATCGTTGTTCAATTACATTAAGGGTATTGGCCAAAAATTGCATACTCTCAAATTACCCACCAAAAAGAAAAGACAGGAATATTCGGTTTTTAAACGGAATCTGTTTCATTCTAAGAAATAATATATGGCCAAGTTGCAAAACATTTTAGACTAAAAGCACACTAACATCTGGTGTTTAATCTCGTGTAAACTGCTGTGAAGAATCTGTAGGTGGACAGATTTAATGCAAGAAAATTAATTATTTGAATCTCGTGCTTTGGAAATCAAAAATCACAATTCATTTGCATATCCTATAGACATCGGTCATAATACAAATTTCTTCATGTTTTTGACTTACTACCGGAAAGAACCAGACAATGTTTCTTTTTAATTTCTAGAAATAAAGAGAGGAAGTTTATAACCCATAACTTACCTGTGACGTATACCAACTTAAATTTTGTTTAGTTTGGTCACGAGATTTTCACAGACAAATGGGGTTATGAACGAAACGATATTTTTAAATCGCGTTACTTCCTACGGTTTCATGATATTTCTTTGTATGCTGGGCTTTCAATTTAAGGTACTTGCTTGGTTTAAACACTAGCGTTGAGGAAAATTAATCAGACTGTTAATTGGAGCATATGTATCTCAAACACTGCAATGAGTTAAATTTCGTCTCTTTCTATAAAATGAAAACATTCACATGACACTAACCTGTGTTGGTAGTGAATCGCGAATGGCTTCGTCAACAGCTCAATACCTGTTCAAAATCGCCGAGTGTTTGATATCCAAAAAGCAAACAACGATTCCTCGTGATCCTAATGTGTTCGAGAGACCTTATTCTAAACAACATAAAGCACAATATTCTTCGTTTGAACGCTGATTAATATGTGGCTGTGAAAACAAATCGAGCTCTGGTTCATCTGATGAACTTCACGAACAATGACTGTCATATACTCAAAGACTGTAATTCAAACAAACAGGATGTAAAGAAATTAAAATGTGGCCAGCAATATTCTAGCTCAACAGTGGCTGAATTGTATTCGTCAATCAAGCCTAAAATTGATGAACGTTTTTCAATGCAAACCGGTAATGACTGGTCAATAAATTTATTGATAGTTTCTAATTATAGAACCTAAGTTGCTCTAACAAAAATATCTTTGACAGAAACCGCAGGTCATGGGTTTAATTTCTTCAGATGGAATTAGGATCAAGCCGCTCTGAAGACATTTTATCTCACACGATTTTAGTTTAAGACTCAGGCGCCATTTTCTCTCCTCGCAGCCATGTGAAAATGGTTAATTTAAAACAGAAAAAAAAAGTTTGAGCGGCCACAAATATTTTTATAAGCTGTGAGAGGTTGATTGCCTTGTCTGATTTCTATGACTACAATCCAGATTATCTTTCGGAAGTTTCCAGTATATTTGTATAAAAAACATTTGAGCTTCCGGCCCAAAAAAATTAAGGCCAAATAACAAAAGCAATCCTAACGTATTTGGATATCTAGCATTTTCCGTAGAATCGATTTGAAAATGTTTATCCTAAACTTCAAAAAATACATGAACTGTTTCTCGTGCTTTTTTCGGGCGTTCATGCTGGTTCTGCTCTTTCGTAAGTTCGCATTTCAATAATTTTTTTGTCATTTGTTCGTTTTATCTTTATGCGTTTTTACGTTCCGTCTGAAGGTGACATACAGTGGTAGTCTGCCTACACATTCCTCTAACTTACGATTTCCATACGTTCAAACTGGAATAGATTTCGTATTCTTAGTACTTGCCAGAGACTAATTGTTTACCACGATAAAGAAATTAAACTGTAAGCTCCCAAATGCATCCTTAAAATAAATTCACCGATCTCAAATCTTACTTAAAAGCTATGTCAGATTAAACTTAAATCTCACACCCAGCTGACAGCAATAATGACTTTTCCGGTTCAGCTTGCTTACCCTTGCGACCTGTTTTCTTAGTCCGCCTCAAAAAATTGTGTCGATGTCAAAGTTTTGTGTTATGCAAATCAACCTATGGCCAACATCCTCATTTCAATCTTACACAATTCAATCTGTGGTTTATCGCCCACACCTCACCGCAAAAAGCGTCACCTCTCGACGCAAAATAGAAAGATTTTGACGAACATGTACATGTCAAAATTCCGCCCGTTGAACTTCAGACATTTGACAAAGCGGACTAATATTTACTCTCTGTCGTGAAAATTTGCACAATACCTGCCATTTTATCTACTTTTGAGTCGAGAAAATTAAATTTAGGCTCTTCTCTTCTAGACAAATATTATTGACTTTCAAATTTTGAGGAAACATTTTAATTAGGGGCCGCTTTGACGATTATTAAAATTTCAGGAAACTAATAAAATCCTAACCAGAGATTTTTATAGATTCTGATATCTGACTAGATTCTTAATAACAAAAAAAAAATCGACTATGCACCCAATAATTAGTTTATTTCCCATAACAAATACCATGAAAATAGATACAAGGCTTTGTTCGACCTATGTATCTGCTTAATACCTGTTATTTGCTTCAAGCTAATTCCTTTGAGGTCACGAAAATCCCATTGCAATATCTATGCAGAATTTACAACAGGAGTATTGCAATCGAATGTTTCAAGTTATTATAGAATTCATATGCCTACCCACTCTCCCTGTTTGGTGTTTTCCATTCGTCCGACAAATCCTCAGACCTATTTCGATGGCGTTGTCAGTAGTACTGTAAAACTCGTCTTCTGTAGTTAATTTTAAATACAAAACGTGGATCGTGTCACATTCTTCAATTTCAAGATAGTTTGACGCAATTACTTTCGAAACGTGCCGTCAAGACGATGTCGTTGGCCGTTAACGAGAGAGAACGGACTATCTACTTTCCTTTGATATGCCTTAAATGGACATAAATTGAAGTCGATGCAACCCTAATAACAAAAGGAAGATGTAAAGTACTTTTTTAAAATATGCGACTATCATATAACAGCAGTTTAAAAATTAAAACAGAGCTCTGGCACTAATCCATCTGTATTGCATTCTTAATTTGACAAGGTCGCTTGAGGTGTACTTTACTGAAAACTCATAAGTTTTTTGCAGACGTATAAGCAGACCCAATCCGAGAATGCAAAGGCCAGAGAGACATTGATAACGCATAAAATCAAGAGAGATGTTGTTACTGATAACAACTATATAAAAGGTCATAAAAGCACAATTTTACGACTCAATAATTTTCAAGAAGCAGGAAAGGGTGGCAAGTATCCATTAACGTGTCAAAGTCGCTTTAGGAGTGAAAATGAAGCGAATAAAGACCAGATGGTCGACAGCGCCATGTTGTCTCGGCTTCTAAGATTATTCTGATCACCTCTAAGAAATTTCTCAAGTGAAAAAATTCTAACGTGGCCTTATGTGATTGCGGGTTCGATCAGTAGCCCAAAAGACCACGATCACTGTGACAGGGCTGTTAAAATTAATGATACGTGCTTATTGACTAAGTGGCAGGGCCGTGCGGGAAAGTCTTTGGCTTGACGTCATATGCACAGACTGAGCGCAATAAGGGCCGTACATGGTGACCGAGACCCGAATATTTTCCCTTTCGGCCCGGCCTAGCTCAATCAATAAGTCCGATAAGTATTTTATCCCATGACCATTAGTCGTATACGACTGCTAAAAAAAAGAAGACTTTTACAGCGAAACTATTCTTTAATTTCGACGAGAAGGAGCAAAAAACTCTTAATTCATCTTATTTTCTCCTTTCTTTTTAAGTGAGATTTTAGTGCCGCAATTACCGTATTTTCTCAATTAAACGCCGGACCCATGTTAAACGCCGGCCTCGAAAAAGCGCCGAACCCAAACTGCCGATTTTTAAATAAACGCCGGGTGCGTTTAATCGAGAAAATACGGTAGATTCAAGTTCTTAAAAAAAAATGCAAGGAACGCTGTGAGCTAGCCAAGGCTGCCTTTTCCGGACCGCCTCAAGTCAATCTGTCCGAACCTACACAAGTCAGCTTTTACGATGGTTTTTAATCGTGGATATGCGAATCATAGAAACAAGTAACGTGGGGTGAACTACAATATGCAAATTTCGTGGCGTTGGCACAGGCTTAGAAGTCTGGGGAGAACATGAATTTTTAAATACGACGAATCATATGGGGAAGACTTTTGTGCAGATAGCAGCTCAATTCTGTTTCTTGGAACTACAGGCTCATAAGCTTTCAGAAAAATCAATCTATATTCTATTTCTATTCTGCCCAGATTGAGTATTTCCACGTGTTCACTGTTGTGTTACTTTGATCTATTGGTCATAATTTATGATGATTCGTGTGATTACTATTGATTACTACAGTGCAATTTCCGGCGGTATGAGACTTGAAAGATGGTTACATCAAAAGAAATACGTACAAGAAAAAATATCTTTTATTCATTGAGCGCAAAGTATTTTGCCGCAAATAAACTAGAATGGAAAGTTTTATGTCGATGCCACCGAGTGCTAGCTTTTGATGCTTTACCAGGAGAAAATGTTGAAAAAGATGAAGAAATTTTCTACTCCAAAAGTTTCACCATGAAAGTTGTGCAGGGGCACCTCACCAAGTCATATGTGTAGACTAATAAGCAGAACTATCATGGTCTATCATGATCACGTGGCACCGCCTTTCAATAGAAGACCTCTCTACCCATTCCCCTTTATAGGGGAGGTGCAGTTTGATAATCATGTGGGTTTTTTTCATTTTTCTCCTCTACCACTTGTAATGTTCCTACCAATCTGATCCAATTTCATTATGCCCACTTCTTAAACGCCGGAAATTCCATCAAGTCACTTATTGACATTGTACTCGAAAAGACACAAAGGTCAAGATTAATAACTCTTGCTTTGATGATGTACAACACAAATGGAGCTAAGAAAAAACAACAAAAATATCTCCAGATATAATTTATTTCAGGTTATTGTCAAGTTCTATGCCCATAGTACATCAAAGTGGTCCTGCAATTGATTTGACAGGCCCTTAATCGAGACAAAAACAGTACTACCAAATTTATCAAACTGTTGATGTCGCCAATTATCCTATAACTACTTATCCTGTCGGGCAAAGAGATGTCTGGACGGCTATTTCATTGTTTTGCCTGATGAAAATTATTTTGTCTTAAGTCTGTAGTTGAGACATGTCAGTCTTCTACTTTACAAATCTTTCTTGTTCATAACATCTAATCTTTTCGGTTTTAATGATCTGATCCACCTAGAAAGCTATTTCAAACAGTATTTAGTGGTCAATTGCCTATGCCATCAAAATTGCTTACACCAGTAACGAAGAACAAGAAACAGCGAACTAATAGTCATAGTAATAGTTTAAATTTTGAATATGCTTCTAGCGTAGACTGCAAAGAATATGTTATTTAATGATAGAGTGAATTGTAACTTGTCTTCATGAGCGGGAGAAGAAAATGGTTTTCTTGTCATCAGCTGATAAGGACAGGAGGCATGCCCATACGTATAACAAAAGACTAATCAAGAGTCCCGCTATTGGTGTAAACCAATCTGTAAGAAGAGGAAAAAGCATTCCACGAGTTAATAATGTAGCCTAGTAAAACTAAAGCAAATTCTCGAACGTGATTGGTTACCACCAGCCATGTTTGAGCATCAATAGGATAGTTTAGGCATCATGCACGTAATTTGACAGCGATCATGTAATAAATAGAATTTCAAAGTGTTTACGCGTCATGCTCATGGAGTTGGAAAGGACGTGTCTTATGTGCAGCTACTTCAGCCACTTTACTAACTGAAGTATCAACTATGCTATCAAGGAAATTGGATGGCACAATTCTTTTTTTTGCGCAATGATATATATAAAAGCAAGCTCCGAAAAAGCTCGTTACCTGAGCTCTTTTACCTTATCCATAAAATAGCTTTCAAATATAAAATCGAGAACATGAATTAAAAGCCTTGCTTCTCTTTCACACTTTTCTCTTTTAAAGCTTTAAGTAACTATGTGTGCAGTTAAGGGAATTAGGACTGGAATTTTTGTATTCTTTTATGTGTGAGTG